GGGGGGGGGGGGGGGGGGTGCGATGTCTCGTGTCTGCTCGTTAATTCGACGTGGTTCAGGTCGCGAGGTTCCTAACCCGCATTCCGTTCGCATTCTGTCTATTTTCCTATCAATTTCGCCACTTCCGATGGTGCGTGCTTTCCGGCTGAGTGAATGACGTTTCTAATTCGTTATCGGATTCTGCCGGATTGAATACAGAACTATCATATGAGGTGAATAAAAATTCGCCTCTGTCGGACGCGTCGCTTAAAGTGCTAGAAGAGGGCAACCGTACACGTCTCCTAGAGCGTACATTATTATTTTCGTCAGCGGGATGTACCCAAGGTAGTAAGCTTTCGTCTAGTTCACCGAATTCAAATCCGTGCTCGACTGTTATAGATGCAGGCGGCTCGGTTACGTTGAGGTTTTCGTCTCGATGTTCTAACGTATGGCGCCCGCTTCGTTGTATTAGCTGTCTGGTGTCGTCTATCAGACGGACCAGGGGTGCTATTCCGTTCCCGCGTACCGACAGTTGTCGGTGTCGTTAACGGTGTCGGTCGATAACTATCGAAAAAAGCTATTCTGTACCACCGTTAACGACAGATTAATAACGATACTTGTCATTTATAAGCAATAGTCGTCGTTAAATTTATCGTGACCCTTTTGAGGTGACGAAAACGCCTACCAAACATAACGACACTTGTAAAGATATATTGAGTGTTTTTAGGAAGTAGTAATTCCAAATATAGGTCCCGCCAAGACGGCAGCCGTTGTTTGATAGTTGGAGAAAATAAAGAATTTCATACAGGTAAGTTTTTTTAAATATGTAATTGGTTTCCGCCAAGTAGGATATATAAAATTATAATATTGTATTTTCCTGTTAGATAAAATATTTAATATGGAATATTATAAACACAGTTTATATGTAAATTTTATCCGTACATTACCATATAATCATGTAGAATTATAAATATCCACAATGAAAAAGATACTATTATATAAATGCAATCAAAATAAATGTTTATTCTTTTGACAATATATATAAGGACGTTTAATTAAATGAAACTATTTATTTTTGTTTCATATATCACATCATTTTGTTTTCATGTAAACATATATGATTATACATGGTATCCATGTATGGACAACATTTGTATATAATTATATGTAATTTTATGTAATCATATGACTATATATATATTTTTTTTTGAACTATATATTTTTGGACTATATATATTTTTGAAAGGTGTATTTTTTCTAAAGCTTACACATTTTAATTGAAGTACAAATCTTATTTCTGTTTCGCAATCAGGATGGCACAAGAATATCTTGCTTGGGATTTCATTCATCTACAGAGCAAAACGATTAGAACGCCAAATTGAAAGGTACAATTGGCGTGATGTGCATGATCCATTCGATTTGCATGATACCGAATTTCAGAAACTGTACCGACTAACTCCAGATATAGATGGATATTACAAATATTTTAAGACCACTTTTAGAGCATGGGCATTTAAATTGTCTCAGTCTTGAACGTCAGGTATAGATATATATCATATTAAGATATTTCTTTAACATGTATATACTTTGTAAGAAAAATTCCACCAGTTCATTAGCAGAGAGAGAGAAAAAGAGAGAGAGAGAGAGAGTGTATAGAAATGTATCTTTACATTATAAAATAATTAACTCTATTTTCGTAGGATAATCAGTTTCTTTATATTATTTTATAATTGTGTCACAAAATAATAATTATTTTTTGTATAGATTTTAACAGCACTCAGATTTTATTCTGTTGGCTACTTTCAAGGAGCAATCAGTGAACAGTGGGATATTGCGATTAGTCAACCATCCGTCAGCCGTTGCATACGCCACGTGACTAATGCAATTAATAATGTTTTACTGCGACAATGGGTTAGATTTCCCATGACGGACATTGAACGTCATCATGCTAGAGAAAAATTCAGATTAGCTCCACAAACATTTGTTGGCGCTATTGGGGCTATAGATTGTACATACATAAATATAAAAGGTCCGATACAACATGAAGAAGCTTATGTTAATCACTGGGGTGATCATACAATCAATACACAAGTCGTAAGTTTTCCATATCATATATATAATATACGATTTATATTTTATATAAATACTGTGTGTGTGTGTGTGTGTGTGTGTGTGTGTGTGTGTGTGTGTGTGTACTTGTAGATCTGTGATCCTGATTTGAAAATTTTAAATGTAAATGCACGATATCCTGGCGCACGACATGATGCGTACATATGGTCAAATTCACCAGTACGCCGTATAATGGAGCGAAAATTCAATAATGGAGAACGTAATACTTGGTTGATTGGTAAGTTTAAAAGCTACTATATATTTAATACTTATATGTAGATAAAGGTATAGGTAAGTAACATGTATAATGGATAAGTAATGGAAATTAATATTTTTCTTTCTTATAGGTGATGATGGATATAGTCTCGAACCGTGGTTAATGACTCCCTTGAAACATGAACAACCAAACACATCAAGATTTCAGTATAATGAGGAGTTATGTAGCGCCAGATGTTGTGTTGAAAGATTATTTGGTACATGGAAAGCTATATTTCGATGTTTGTCAGCGCAAAGACGTTTGATGTATGAACCAGACATGGCCGGCAAAATAGTAAATGCATGTGCTGTTTTGCACAATATTAGGATTGCGTATCGGTTGCTAGATGTGGAAGTTGATGTTAATGAAGTAGAAGCATATCGACACGTAAATAGGCCTAATATGGCCTAATATGGCCTAATATGGCGGTTGAACAGGATGATAGAGGCAACCTCTTTCAAGGACACTCGCTACTCGTATACAGGAACGTTTTATCGCTCGTGAATATGGCAGAATGTAACATATTTTAATATCTTCGTCGTACAATTTTTTATTTTGTTATTTGTAATGTAAATATTGAATACGCGAATAAAATAAAATATGATTAAACAAATATGATCAAAGTTATTAATATATAGTTTTTTTATTAATATAGTACTGTAACCGCGATTCGTTGCGGGTTTGAATCGCTTGTCGGATCGGGTTCGTGATAGGCGGAATAATTGAGAAACAGTGTTTTAAGAAAATAATAATGAATAATATATTTAAAATACTAAACTGATGATACTGACAATATATATATCGAACAATACGTGTCGACGCCTTTGGCTTTGGTTGTTTGTATCGCCTGACAGAGGTTTGTTTAGACGCTGATTTGGTGATGTGACGCGCGGTGTGCGGGGCGCGGACGACGTCAGTGTCGCGTCTTCGCGAGTCTATGCTGTTGACGTTTCTTTCGGCGTCGTGTCTCTTAAGTGCGGTGGACACTTTTTCCAGCGATGCTTAGCGGCGTTTCGGAATCATATAATGTTCGCGGGCGTTGAGATTGCAGCGTAACTGCATGCGGGATATCGCCTGAGCGGCGCTCCCTTCGATCTCCTATCGCGGAGATTTGAATCGGTTCGATGTATGCGGTGTAGCCGTCGGTCCTCGTACCCGGGACCTTAGCCCTCGGAGTTTCCTCTATGATTCAACGAGCTCGGCTCGTTCAGACGCAATTTCGGATGCGGCCAGCGGTACTGTGAAACTTATCTGTGTCGGCCTCACGAATCCGTGAGCCGACGGCGGAATGATTACAGTCGCTACGCG